ATAAAACATTACCAAATGAATTTAAATAACTGATTTCATTTGTTACTGGTGAACTGCAATAGCTCATCATGTCAAACACAAAAATATCACATAAACTAGACTCACCGAATGGTACTGCTCGGGAGTTATTATTGCTGTTCGTAAACCAATAAACTCCGCCTGTAGCTCTTCCAGAGTTACTGCCGGTCCCAAGCACGGGTAAAGGAGGAGGGTTGGGCATGGGGTTAGCGTCCCCATCCCGTAGAAAACTAACTCGCTAAAAAAACGCTTACCAGAAAAAATAATTCAAACCATTTTAACTCTGCCCTGGGAGTTAGAAGGTCTTCATTTAGAAGAATTATGACGCTTCATGGTGAAAGCCGAGTTTCTTCGGAAGCCACGAGGCCGATGCCCCTTCTAACAACCAGAGCAAAACTTTTTGTAGGTACATGGAACGTCCGAACAATGTGGGAGACCGGAAAGACCAGTCAAATAACAACGGAAATGAGCAGATACAACTTGGCAGTACTGGGAATCAGCGAAACCAATTAGACCCAAGCTAGACAGCAAAGGCTAGATGCGAGAGATGCTGGTATACTCTGATCACGAAGCGGAAAATGTTCCACACACTAAAAGAGTTGCTCTAATGCCGTCCAAAGTAGCACGAAATACACTTGTAGGATGGGAATCTCACGGATCCACAACCATAAAAGCATCATTCAAGACAAAGAAGGAGGGGATCTTAATGAATATTATCCAATGTTATGCACCCACCAATGATAGCAACGGCGATATTAAACATCAATTCTACGAGCGGCTGCAGTCAATCATAGAGAAATGCCCAAGAAAGGACCTCACCATTCTGATGGGAGATCTAAATGCCAAAGTCGGAATAGACAACACTGGATATGAAGATATTATGGGACGACATGGACTGGGAGAAAGAAACGAAAATGGAGAAAGATTTGCAAATCTATATGCATTCAACAAATTGGTCATAGGAGGCACAATATTTCCACACAAGCGTATACACAAGGCTACATGGATCTCACCGGACCACACTACAGAGAACCAAATAGATCATATTTGCATCAACAAAAAATTCCGAAGGACAATGGAAGATGTGAGAACCAGGAGAGGTGCTGACATAGCTTCAGATCATCACCTAGTTGTAGCCAATTTGAAACTGAAGCTAAAGAAGCACTGGACAAGTGGACAAACAGCACTACAAAGGTTCAATACAGCCTTCCCTCGAGATACTAACAAAGTCAGCGAATTCAAGATAGCTCTCAACAACAGGTTCCAAGCCTTACAAGATCTACTGAAGGAAGAAGAAACTACTATGGAGGACAACTGGAAAAGCATCAAGGAAGCATTAACTTCAACGTGTCAAGAGGTTCTCGGTCTAAAGAAATACCATCATAAGGAATGGATCTCTATAGAAACACTGGACAAGATCAAAGAAAGGAAGAACAAGAAGGCAGCAATAAACAGCAGCCGAACACGAGCAGAGAAAGTTCAAGCACAAGCTGAATACATAGAAGCAAACGAGCAAGTGAAGAGGAGCATTAGAGCCGACAGGAAGAAATACGTGGGAGAGTTAGCAACGACGGCAGAAAAAGCTGCTGGAGAAGGAAATATGAAACAGCTTCACGATACAACGAAGAAACTAGCAGGGAAATACAGTAAACCAGAGAGACCGGTCAAAGACAAATAAGGCAAGCCAATCACTGAAATTCAACAACAGCGGAACAGATGGGTAGAATACTTCGAGGAGCTCCTGAATAGGCCGGCTCCAATGAATCCAGTGGACATCGAAGCAACACACAGATCTTCCTATAGATGTCAACCCACCAACGACAGAAAAAATCAGCATGGCCATCAGACAAATCAAGAACGGGAAAGCAGCAGGACCCGACAACATACCAGCTGAAGCACTGAAATCAGACATCGAAGTAACTACAAACATGCTTCACCTTCTATTCAAAAAGATTTGGGAGGAGGAATAAGTGCCGATGGACTGGAAAGAAGGACACCTCGTCAAGATTCCAAAGAAAGGAGATCTGAGCAAATGTGAGAACTACAGAGGCATTACACTACTGTCAATACCAGGGGAAGTCTTTAACAGAGTTTTGCTGAACCGGGTGAAAGATGCAGTAGACGCCCAACTTCGAGATCAACAAGCTGGATTCCGTAAGGATCGGTCGTGCACAGACCAAATTGCGACACTACGGATCATCGTCGAACAATCAGTTGAGGGGAACTCGTCACTATAAATCAATTTCATTGATTATGAGAAGGCATTTGACAGTGAAGATAGGAAGACGTTATGGAAACTTCTTCGACACTACAGAGTTACTGAGAAGATTGTCAACATTATCCGGAACTCATACGACGGACTACAGTGCAAGGTCGTGCATGGAGGACAGCTGACAGATGCATTCCAAGTAAGGACCGGAGTCAGATAAGGCTGTTTACTCTCTACCTTCCTCTTTCTTCTGGTGGTCGACTGGATTATGAAGACCTCGACATCTGAAGGAAAACACGGCATACAATGGACAGCTCAGAACCAATTAGACGATTTGGACTTCGCAGATGACCTAACCTTCTTATCACATACACACGAACAAATGCAGATAAAGACAGCCAGTGTAGCAGCAGTCTCTGCATCAGTAGGCCTCAACATACACAAAAGGAAAACCAAGGTCCTCAAATTCAAAGCGGAGAACAGCAATCCAATCACTCTTGATGGCGAAACTCTGGAAGATGTAGAATCCTTTATATACCTGGGAAGTATAATCGATGAACAAGGAGGTTCAGATGCAGACGTAAACACGAGGATCGGCAAACAAAGCAAGGGTCGCATTCCTACAATTGAAGAACATGTGGAACTCAAAACAACTTTCAACCAATATCAAAGTGAGAATCTTCAATACGAATGTCAAGGCAGTCAGTTCTACAGTACTGAGATGAAACTTGGAGAACTACAACAACCACCATCAAGAAGGTACAAGTATTTATAAATGGTTTTCTACGCAGGATACTCAACATTCATTGGCCGGATACCATCAGCAACAGCCTTCTGTGGGAGAGAACAAACCAACTTCCAGCTGAAGAGGAAATTAGGAAAAGACGATGGAAATGGATAGGACATACATTACGCAAATCATCAAACTGCATCACGAGGCAAGCCCTAAATTGTAATCCCGAAGGGAAGCGGAAAAGTGGAAGGCCAAAGAACACATTACGTCGGGGAATAGAAGGAGATATGAAAAGGATGAATTACGACTAGAAGGATCTGGAAAGGATTGCCCAGAACAGGGTTGGATAGAGAATACTGGTGAGCAGCCTATGTTCCTTCACGAAGAGTAACAGGAGTAAGTAAGTAAGTAAGTAAGTAAACCAATAAGTCTTTTGTTACTGAAATACTAAACGAGTTAGTTATAACACATGAATTCATTTCTTTTGTGTTTGCATGTAGATGTATATGTGAATTAGAATGAGTAGATAATTCCCATCGATAGAAATTTTTGTTAAGGTGATAAAATAGAACTTGAACACATTTATGTAACAACTGTTCTTCCCTATTACATGACTCATTATGAACCAATAAGATTATCAAATAAACTAATTTTGTTTACTATAAATGACTTTTCAGTTTAGTGGTTGTGGAGATTGTTAAGCTGTTGATCGAAATCATGACTAGCTTCGTGAGAAAATTCTCGGAGTTCTGGTGAGAAGTCGTGACCAGTGGAGCTAATCCGTGTCGGGTAGAAAAAGGTGTCTACCTCAGTACAATGGAAGATGGTCGAGCAACGTCGTGGATTGGTTGAGGTTAGACGCTATCACCATTGGATGCCGGCTCAGTGGTCTAGTTAGTTAAGCGCCTGGCGCGAGACTGATAGGTCCTGGGTTCGAATCTCGCGGGGTGTGGGATCGTGGATGCGCACTGCTGAGGAGTCCCATACTAGGACGAAACGGCCGTCCAGTGCTTCCAGGTTTTCAATGGTGGTCTAACATCAATCGGTTCGTGATTTCAATAAATGACTTTTTTAAAATTCACTAAAAATACAAGTGACTTGCCATGGTGATCTAGATTTAATCGATTCATGAAGTCAATCTCCACAAAACCCTCCCCTTCTGAAAATAAATTAATAATTGAGTCATTAGACAGACTGGAAAGTACAAAGAGTATACAAAGCTTAAAGTCGAAGACACAGTTATTTAAATAGATAATGATGAACATTCACTGTAAATAATCACAGAAGTTATGTGAAAGACGATCAGAAAATTACATTGACTCAGTAAAGTTAATAAATTTTGCAAAATTCAGATGAAAATGTATTTACAGGGGGATAAGATTCAAAGATAGAAAAGAATGTCAAAGAAAAAAGCATGGAATAAGAATATAAAGGTATGAAGAGAAATAGGGGAATGACAATAAGACTGATTGTACAAATAGATTTGGTTTCTCATTGTGTTTTGATACACTGACAAAGTAAACATGATATTCGCTCACACTCTCCGTTATCAGTTGGAGTTTTATCTCATAAATAAATTAGACACCTAATCTTATACCATAAATTTCTTTTTCGATGATAGATGGTAGAGCATATAATCTGAAGGTTTCTAAATTAGTTTGTATTAAGATATACTGTAAGGCGTTTTTTTTTAAATTTTGGTAAATATTGTTTGACAAATAATCAATGTACTTAGTTGTACAACCGTTGGAGGTCAAGTATGGATGCAGTAAACTGACTAATTGTTGTATAGAACAACATAGGTTCATACACTATATTTTATTTTTTTAATAATAGTAACAATAATAATAAGCAAGTGGTACCAAAAACATTCATTTTTTTGGCTCGATTTAAAAGCAAGAACTACTTTCTCCCCGTCTATTTGTCTTCGTATCTCTTAATGAGAGTTTTGGTTGAAAAGTAAACCAACAATAGTCCAGAAATATTCAGATTATAAGTATGATCTTTAAAGAAACTATTTCTAATTTTACATTATAACAGGTTTAATCACTTCAACTGCAACAGCCAACATTAAATTAACAAATACACATCATTGGCAATTGTTAACTTGTCATGTTGATATGCAAGCATATCGAAATGTCAATCAAACGTTCAAAGTAATTCACCTTAGCGATTATGGTATGTTTAAAAATTATTATAGTTTTTAGTTGGAATTTAATTAATTCAGTGGAAAGACTATACGATATATACAGAGTTGATGAGTAGTTGTGAAAATGCTAAATGAATCGAAGGTTACTATTTCTCAATGTTTATCTTGACCAGTTATCAATATTCATGATTGTATTTAAATCGAGGTTTAGCTTCCTTAGTAAAACAAAATATTTCCTTTGTATAAAATCCCCCTGGTTCGAGCTCTGTCCTAGGCTGGATTCTAACAACAACAATCATCAATTTAGTCATGATAATTTAGTCAATCTAGACTATATATATATATGTTTTTTCATATCTGAACTGATTTGAATTTAATAATAAATCCCCCAGTTTTATTAAAATTATCGACTATATACATTTATAAATTGCTTCACTTTTCTAGTAGAGTTACAATTTGTTTCATTTCAAGGGAATTCACAATATTTGTTAGGACCTATAGTCCAGTTCATATGTATAAGTGAATTAGACATAGAAATGAATTCAATTTGATGAAGAATGGTAATTTACCAAGTAGAACTAGACAGAATAACATTAGGTCATGCAATCTTTCACATTCGAGTAAAGTAAGAATATTGGGAATAGAAAAACACTGTTCGGTGATGAATTATATTTCTCAGTCAAGTTAGTTTATTAATTTTGCGGATTCTATACACAAATTAGATTATTGATTACTACCAGTTCAGCATATCCAAAATTATTGACTAACCAAAAAAAATTCAAAGTGACCGGTGGTTGGTGAATAAACCAGTCCTCTATCGTCTTGTTTTCTTTATCGCATCGACAAAGCAGTCTCGTTCCGTTGCTGTAAATAGCAGATAGAACTTACCCTTCATCCACAGTAAACATTTTTACCAGTCGCAGAAATCAGTAGTTAAACAAGTTACTAAATTGCCTTGACAAATTAGTCTTGGTTCAAGTCACTACAAAGAATAACATCTGTGGTAAAATAATGTGAACTGATTTGTTTGGTGGATTCTCTTCAACTATTTACAGTTATTTATTTCAACGCATAAACATCGGTACAAGGCACCAAATATATATGCGCCACATAAACCATTCCATTTGTGTGAAGGCTGAGATACTACCGGGGTGACCAAACCGAAGTAAGTGGTTTACATAGGGGGCCCCACACGGAGCCTTCGACCTAATGGTCTGACCCACAAGGCAGTGTAGCCCATGACAGCTGGTGACCAACAATAGGTTCATACACCATTTGTTCCCTTTCGGATCGTATGGCCCATGTGCACGATTGGTTTGGAATCCGGGTTTTCCAACTCCCCTAGATGGACTCACTTCAAACACCAAGCCGGTTAAAGCACCGGACATTCACTTTTCGTCCTCCCAACTTCGTAAACAGCACCCTCATTGCAAGAAGGCAGTGAGTAGGACTTCCCTGGTAGTGGTTGTATTTATGTGGTCATGTGAGAGCATTTCGAAAGGGAGAGCTGACTCTCCCCACTCTCGGTAGTATCAGAGCATTTAAGGGCCAACTATTTACAACCTATAAATAATGGTATTATTTATTTTAAAGTGGCGTACATATTATATTAATCAGGTTCTGTTATAACATACCGTTTTTCCGTATACACTAAAAGGACGTTAATTTACCTTAGATGAATATCTACACCAGATACCCTTGTAGTGTCTATTCTATAGGGATTCAACACAACTCGAATCAGGAACACGTGACTAGCCTTACTAGAACGTAAGCATATATCCACTCCAAAAATCGACAACAAAACGAGTAAGAATGAGTCAGACAATATATAATTCATTTAATACCTATCAGACTAGCTACTAGTCTAAGCAAATAACCAATCATTATTTTCCTCATCCACACATCAAGTTCTTGTCAATGAAGCACAATAAAAAGAGGAATAACTATAGAATAATAAATGTTCATATAGTTGGACATTTCTGTGTAAAATAATGTGAATATTCTGTTACTAAAAGTTTGATGTTAAAAGTTACGTGGTAATAATCACAAAAAGGATTGATTATAAGATGATTCACTAGGGTTCCTAGTTGAGAGTACGAAAAAAGATGACTTAAGCAATAGAATACAGAGTTCATGAGAATGAAACAAATCGACAACAAATACACTGAACTGAAACTTAGAAGATCGACATGACATTATTTATCTTACCAAAAATACACAAACCTAGTTTTCTTATTCGGCCAGTATTGTCAATCGTTAATTCTCCGTTTGACAAATCTGTCCGATGGTAAAGGAGACATTTAGAATATTTTTGGTAAAAGATAGTTGTTCATAAATTGAAGGATACCTTTAAAGTGAAAACCGTCAGGATGATAGCTTTTTTGGTTTTACGGCATAAAGTATGGACACTTTTCTGAAATAGCTAACAGTACTATTTCTAGGTTGTGGGTAGTTGAAGATAATCCACAAAATGAATGAATTCACATTGTCCTAGCTTCATTCAAATTTATAAATGGGAAAAATCGTCTGTTTCAAAATTGAATGTTACGTTAGATGCAAATTTGGGCGGTATACGGTTAAATAATTTAGTGATGTCATTTAGTTGAGATCTCCACTCATACTTAATACCTACGAGCACAGAATAATTATAAGCATTCTCATTCAAGTCTATAATCCAGAGTTCTATATAATATTTCCTTTAACCCAGTTCTGTCAGTTCAAATTTGATGGAAGCTAATCAATAACAGCACTCAAGCAAATCATAACATTTACAAAAACTTATTATAGTACACCGTAAATCTCTAAGATATTTTTATCTAGATGATTTCCCTCGTTCTTATTTTTCACAGTACCAGCAGAACTGTAAAGATGAATCGAAGGTGGAGACACCAAACTAAGTAAATGCACCGCAAACCTTATAAACAATTTTATGAATACATATTTCTATTTTATAAATCTCACCTTATTGATACTGGATCATTCATACGTGAAATTTCAAGCTTTATTATTTATCTTTTAACTACCTTCATTATTAATGAATGTCAACTGAAATATGATAGAATTTAGAATAAATTTTCCAATACAACAAAAAATTGGATTTTGTCTTTTCGACGATAACCTTCATTGCAGTTTAACATCTCAGTATGGAATGGATAGTTTTAGATCTTAGAGTAGAAAAATTACTCAGCAATGAGAAACCACAACTCCACATTCCAAATTTAACCGCTTTTGGAGTATAAATTGATTATTATCGAATGCTAACCAATGGCTGTTTTGCACAAAATCCCATTCCCCGATAAGAACTCGGAGAATCCACATACTAAATAGTTATCAATTAATGAATAGGCTGTTAAGTCAATTGTTGATTTCTTCATTCCCATGTTTTTCATGCGATGTAAACTACCTAACGATAATGAGCAATCTGAGATGTGTCTAATCATTTTAACGATACGCAGAAGTAAATCATATTTCGATACAAAACTGTGTATAGGGAGTGCAAAACTCCAGGTAAGAACGAAACTAGAATCTGAAAATTTTCAAGTGATAGTGATGTAAGGTATCTAGTGAAAAATGGAGGATTAGTTATCAACCAAATGAGAAACCGCAGTCTCACATAATAGTAGACTGACGAATTGATCAAAAACTATGACGAATACTCTGTTGATAAACTGCTCTTCGGAATGATGAATTCATGTGCTCTCATCGAAACACCACTTATTTGGCCATTTCTTACACTTGATTATGGAGAACTTCACTTGGATTTCGAGTTAGCGTTCAGCCGTCTGTGGCCACTGAAAATGTGATTATTCACTGAGTGTTGACTGACAAATACATCTTACTATTTTACTTCATCTTTAAACTCACTAAGTGCGGACTGCTTGCAATCCCATTGAATTAAGTACTGCTCAGACTATTCCCTAGATCTCTGTTATAGTCGTGAATTGCATAGCCAGTATAACACGACCCGGACTGTATATAGAACCTATTGAGTATCCAGCCTAAATTTTAATCACCCTTCAAATTATCGTATAGTAGTATTATACTGTGGCAACAAGATACAATTTTTATCATCCAGCTATATCTGCATCCCTAGCTTTCTTCCAACCTCTACACGAAATCACTGCCCGTTGAGATAATCGGTGGACCATCTCAATCGATAAAGTCCCTCTACTCCGTCAAACGACTTGCTCATAAAAATGGGGAAGGCGGACAACTCCAATGATCATCACTTGTAGTCATCAATTCCGATGACAATTAGATATAAGCTCTGACTCGATTAGCAATGTTAGAGAGCCTGTACAACGTTAATTTACTATTTGGTAGACCTTTCTACGACAGTTGGTCTATGGAGTCGACTGCAGACTCAAGGTTGAGAAACATGGATGGTTGGGAGTCGGTAGGCATATATGTTTTAGGGTATTGTGAAGGATGAATATTTGGTCTATATATCCATACCCAGACCTGAAACTAGCCTAGTTTTCCCAAACCTAGTTAAGCGTTGGATGATTATTAAGGGTAATTCTTTAGACATTATATTAATCAAACTGATATGTTATGTGAAATGAATTGTTATTATGAACCATGGAACGAATTTTCATAAGTAAAATGAACATGGAAGAGCGAATCCTAGTTTTTTGTTCCTAAGTAATGGGTCAAAGATATAAATAGAAAAGTTAGAACGACTTTATCATTGCAACCAAAATAGTAACAACATAACGGTGCATGAAAACAAAGGTTCAAACCCCAAAACAATGAAGCTAGTCAATGGAAAAGAAGTCAACAAGAAACACATTTTATAGATTACATAGAACGGAATATTGATGTAACAAATATATAAATGAATTCAAAATAATCACAAATAAGTAAAACGTAGTAAAGATGGATCTAACTTGAAAACACTTAAATACAGTTAAAACCACTTTGTAAAAGTAAGTTATGCAACTAAAAATTAGTAACGGACACCCCAATGAGGTCTAATTGATGGTCTTTGATTAGGTTGCACAAACCGATCGTTTGTAAACTGTTGTTGTTGATATGGATACCCACCAAAAGTTGGTGCGCCATATGAATTCCATGATGATCCATTAAAATTATTTCCTACACCACTAGGACCAAACGATCTTGCACCCATGTAGTTCCCAGAAAATCGGTTGACAGGTACGTGATCATATCGCGGATTTGAAAATTGCGGCTGAGGGTCTTGCCAAAGACCACATTGAATATCATGCACCTGTTCTGGGTCAGTAGGACGATTAGGACAATTAGTATAGCGTCCAAAACCTTGTTTTTCCGAGTATGAATTTTCATACCCTTTATTTCGATGCGACCGACCCGAGAGTAACGGACAATTACTGGATGTAGCGAACCGTTTTCTCGGCGGAGAATCGAAGTTATTTGCCTCATCAAAACTAGCATTTGGTTTTAATGCTTCTGGCGAACATAGTTGACGCAACACATTAATAACATGCTGATCTTCTTCTCGAAGATCGGCAACACCTTCTGGTCGTAAGCAAGTACGGACAAGTAATGCCTCCAATGCTGGACGAAAGGCGAAAATTCGGGCAGCAGTCATGAAGCTCATACGGAAAGGAATCCAATCATCAATAACAACTATTCCTTTATCATTAGAATCATCAGATTTCCAGATAGCAGAGCGGCAGCCAAAAAGCATTAGCTGAATTGGATTCACCATTGAAAGACCTTTACACGAAACGGCCTGAGTACGAATCTAAAATATGAAAGCATAATACACTTCTATCATAATATCGTCATGCAACTTTATAATAAGTAGATAAATGTTTACTTCTGTACATAAAAATACAGCAGTTCTTCAAAAGTATAATTCTTAATCGAGTAAATAAATAACGAACGGTTTTTCGTTATCTTAATATATAATTATTCCATTAAAAACCTGTTGAATTATTTTTTAACATTTGACAACACTTACTTTTTCATCGAAAACAAAAAATGGATGAGTGAACTTGATATCCTTCATGCAATTGACAGAACTTTTGTGTATAAGTGCTAAAGTACCTTCAGTTGTTAGTAATTTGCGTTTATCTGAATGAAAACAGATATTTGGATACAATCCAGACACAAGTAAAGTACTAAGTATATCGCAATCGATATTGTGTTTCAAATTAAAATTAACCGGTGCATCCGACAGTGACTCTTCTGGGAAACCCAAGTTAATGAGAATAGCTCTAAGCTAAAAAATGATAGAAATAAAATAAAATCAAATGTCATGAAGTCATGCACATAACAGCGTATATAAAACAATCTGAAGAATGAATAACAGTACTAATTAGTTTACAAAGCATCGATAAATGCAGAACAAAAATTAACTATTATATAAAGTTTTATGCATCTTATCTAGGAGCTATTAAAGACACAATATGGTTGGAATCAGATAACACTTACCAAGAAGGTTTGAAATTTATCATAACCAATCGAGATTAGAAAGCAAACAATAAGATCAGTCAACTTGATAAAAATCGTCAAAACAAACCAAGTTATGTGAAAATAATTGCAGTAAAAAAGCTATGATGCGATACGGGTTAAGTAATCATTGACTTTGTAAACGATTGGGATATACCAAGTAGGCTTAACCTTAATTATGTCAAAATTCCACGGATCTATCTTACTGACACACAATTGGTCGAATACTTAATAGTAGTAACACTAAGACCTGTGGGATCGCAATTGTATAGTACTATCCGAAGCTAGGATAGAACAGGTTTTCAGTGCTCTTTGATTTTTAGCAGTTTTTCAACTTATGTTCAATCATAATGGAGACTTTACGTAGGCGAAAGGAAAACGCTAACATCCTTACAACGGAAATATAACACAATGGATTACAAGTTGTTTACATTCATTGTTAATTTTCATTTCTATTACGCTTTGAACAGCCTGAGAGTATCAAAACGAAACTCATAATGCTGAATTAGCAATAAGATGGGTGAAAATTTCAATCACACAGTTATTTGTTAAAACTGGTTATGTAAGTAGCATAGACTGTCAACTAAGTTGGATTTTTTATTGCACTTATTTAGCAATACAAATGAATAGACAGCTGCTTCTTGGTGGTCTAGTTGTTTATTGCAATTTTTCTGTAAGAAAGAATACATTACATACAAACCAAACGAGTATCCAATTAGATTTTACTTTAAATAAACATATTACTCTGACTCAATGTGATCATGATGCAGGCTTTTGTTTCTGGTCTACAGTTATCGAAGAAGACCAGACTGTTAGTTCCACAATGAGCTATTATCAAAATTAACACAACTAACAGATCCATTTGTAACTGTTTCACTTATGAGTATCGAGTTTCTAATTGTATAGTTTCTTTTATTTAGGTCAATTACTACTTGTAAACTGACTGTTCTCTTATTGGTTGATACATTTATTATTTTTGATTTATTGAACTAGTTTTTTTTACTTTTCTGCACTGAGTTGACTGTTGTTATTGAGTTTTTCAGCTTGAATATGAGGTTGTAACCCAAGTAAACTATTATTTACTGTAGAACCATTCATTGATTTATGTATAAATATTACGCGAAGTTAAGAGTCTTCTGATTTGAACCGACATCAGGTGAGTGATTCCGGTGATCACGTTTACAGTGTACAATAATAAACCATATTTCATGAAACTAAAAAATCTGTCAATGAGAAACAATGATATATAAATTGCTGCTGGGAACCGTAAAAACAGACGGGATGTGTTTTAATAAAGAAGATACAAGACTGTTTAGGCTTTAATGAAGATATATTTCGGAATCTGTACTAAAAGCTAACTTAAAAATGGAAATCTAAGGGCAAAATCTTACAGAACTATAATTACAGTTGCCAATTTTCTTTATAAGT